TTAGGGTGTCTAGAGCCTCACTTGTGCCTATATGCTTGTTAAAATGTTATTAAAGTGTTTTAAAGTATGCTTCGGTGACTTGAAGTCATATGGAAGTCAAACGTTAAGGGGCGACCAAGATGTTCGACAACTAGTCACCTAAGGGGCCTTATGTGTTTTATTTGCTTATGTGTGTTTCATGAGCTTATGAGTTCCTTATATGAGTAATAATTATGTTTACAAGAATTTTATGGAGTTTCATGAAGTTTGGAGGTCAAATGTCCAAGAACACCTAAGACGTCCGAAAGTTAGTCCTTGAGACGTGCATGTATGTCTTGAGTGTGCCTTGCATATTTGGATGTATTTTATGTGTTCATTTTGGGTGAAACTTGCATGGAAGGTAATTCAATATGTAAGGTTGTATATTTATATTGGGAACTTCTGGGTACGGACCCGCAAGAGTCCCTAAAGAAGGACCCAAAGGCTGTTGAGACACTGCCTTAGAAGTGTCAATCGATGAGCCAAATGACTCCTCCTTAGTGGAATGATGACCCGTTGATGGGGAGGCGTCGATGGGAACTTATGCTGGAGAAGTATTAACCACATGAAAACCTCATACCCAAATGAAGGAAGGCACAAGAGGGTCCATTGATGGACCATCGCCCCGTTGTTGGGTCCATCAATGCAGGCCTATAGCTATTTCCATGCACGCTGCCTATTTATGGGGTGAATGGAATATTCACTCCACGTCCTAACTTGACTCTACTAGGTTTTATTAGTTATTTATGGTGTATTTAAGTGATAAAAAACGCGATCAACCTATTCCCAATCCCTTCTACACAAATTAGACTTTCCCTCGAAAATATATTCTCTTTAAAAACCTCCATTGAAGGTGAAGCTCAAGAAAATCTTGGAGCTTGTATTCCCATTGATTCTTCATCAAGTTTTAGAGGTTTTCTTCTAGATAAAGGTATGTTCATCCTTCATCTCTCGTTATCCTTCAATCTAGAGAGTTAGTCTCAATGTTTTGAAAAGATATTTCATGATCAAACTTCTTCTTCTTCTTCAATCTAGACAAGGGTTATTTCTCAAAACATTTTCAAAGGCTTAATAATGATTAATTGATGATAATTTATCGGTTTAAACGTAAATTTCAATCCTATTGCATTATGAACCTATGTCCCTTCCCAAACTCGATTTAGCCCTTGCATGGGCATTGTGATCGTGGCTTGTTATTTGTGGATTTGTAATTCTATTATGTTGAATTGCTTATATAAACCATTTATTATGTATATTTATGGTGAGTATTTTTTTACGAATGATCCAATTTGATCAATATATGAAGATTTGAACATGACTCGCCTTTGCCTCTATGTGGTAACTGTAACATTGCCTTATAATGAATGAATATGGAATTCAATTATGTTAAATTGATTGTTAACTACTGCCTATAATGAATAAAGATTATAAATTATATGTAATGGATCTTATGTTGATCAAGTCTTGAGGATTAGGTGGTATTGATTCATGTTCTCCTATTTTCTATAAATTGCTAATATAGTTCTATGTATCTCGACGCCATGGTAATTGGTTCATGATTTTGTATAGGGTTAATTGTACTTTAGATACTTCCAATAATATGTTATAATGATGAATTATGTGTTGTTCTAATGTGGATTGATGCTTAAAGACTTTATCTCTATTTCCTGGTGCTCACTGTAATCTCGAAATCTTGGCAATTATAGAAGGATTTCGTTTAAGTTATGATATCTTTAACTACTGACTTCTATGTGTAATTTTGATTAATTGTGAGCATGAATAATTTATGATTAAGTGTGAAAGTATTGGTAAGAGATCAACTTCTCTTCACATTCTATAAATTGATGATTTAGTGGACCTAATATAATCTCAATCTTGTTTGATTAATGTATGATTAACGATTATGTTAGTATACCTTTATCTACATCCTTATATATGAATTGTTTGTGCAAGATTAGTAATTGTCAATGATAACTAAAGTCTAAAGTATTGGTAAGAATTGCTCTACTATTCTCCTCTACTTCTCTATAGTATTGTTGATGAAGCCTTGTATGGCATTGTGTGGTATGGTCTACTTATTGTGAAGGTGTTTTCTTTACTGTCATTATATATGTGTTGAATATGGCCTTGAAGGAAAATTAATGAATACGTGAGTGTGTGGTTATGATGATCACACTATGTGAAGCCTATGCCTAGTTTCCTATTTTAACTATGATCTAGGTTATGTTTCTAATGGCATGAGCATGTAAATGGTTATGTCAAGCTTATGTGTATTTGATGTATATGATGAGGTCCTATGATGCTATATGTGAAGTAAAGCTAAGATAGGTGCATAAAGATTAGAGTTTATTGTAAGAATGTTTTAAGTCTTAAATAAATGAGTCTTATGCTATGCTAACCATTCTATGATATTGTGTGATGTATCATTCACTAGTTAGACTTGATAGGTGTACTAGTATGGGCAAGTGTATGGGACGTTGTCTATACATTGAACGTGTGTGCCTTGATAGGATAGTTCGTAGGTTGGTCTTCCAAGTACATGCATAGGATTGTATGAACATGTTATGAATATGGCTTACATGCTATGGTGTTTAGTATACGATATCATAAAATATGAATGTGCATGGTGTCTTGGTGTGTTTATATGAAAGGATTGCTCATACAGTTATACCTATGGACTTGTGAATTGATATATGAACATGTGACATTTATGTGTTATGTGAAAGGTTTGCTCACATATAAGTATACACACACATGTATGGAGATCTAGTCAATAGAAGGGCCTTAAAAGGTGTGCTCATGTGTACCCTAAAACTAGATAGGTGCGGTACTATGCTATAAGCATATAAGTAATCAATATCCGAAGCCTATGTTTTATGATGTAAAGTAATAAACACTTTTCAATGAAAGGAAATTAGCTTAGCACCGAGTGAATTTGACAATGAAAGGTTTTGGCTTCCTTTGGAGTAATATTCACCATTGGGTTCCCATAAGGTTTGACTTGCATTGGAAGAATATTCAGGTATGGTTCCACATGAGGTAGTGGCTTCCCATAGGAAGGTTCACCCATGTTTCTCATAAGATAAGGCTCCAATGCTATGCAGAAGGTCATGTATATCTCTTAGTTCCATAAATTGTGCTTGCCACATAGGATCTAACAAGTGAATTCACTTAGTATGCTAGGATATATGTGTTAATGTTCTACCTTGTCTAGGTGAGAACACCTTCCATTGGTGTAAGGCTCTACAACACCATATTCCATGTTTAGCACCCATAGTCTTAGTACTTGTTAAGTTTATAGTTTCCCTAAAGTAAAATGGACAATGGAAGTAAATGACTAAGACACTAACTAGGATGACCTATTGGAGGTTACTTAGGATATGCGGAAGTAATGAACTCACCTAGACATTGCAGAAATAGCTTCTTAGGGAGTTCTAGAAAGGTGATCCAAGGTGTATAATTATGTCAATGTCTTTATACATGGCATGATAGTAACTTTCTACTTGTTATGAATATGTGCATGGTATGAGTCTATATGATGTGGTCTTATTATGGTGATCTTAATGACTATATGATGAATATATATATATATATATATATATATATATATATATATATAATATGAAGAAATGTTCTAGCATAATATGTTCTAAGAAAGTTTTAAATTTTCCACTAAATTTACCTATGACAATGCGATGAATGATAACTATGTACTTGTATAAGAACTCCGAGAGGTCAAGTACGCCATGTAACTTCTAGGGGGTGCTCCTTGTATGTGACACAGGTCCTCTTGATTGGGAGAAGTTTAATGCTGCTTTTCTTGATAGGTTCCCCCTTCAGATAAGGGAATTCAAGGTGGTTGAGTTCATTAACCTTTGGTAAGGGAGTATGAGTGTGATTGTCATCTAACCAAGAATCACATGAATTTTCCCTTTCATCCGTCCCTTCTAAGATTGGTTTTCTCTCCGCTTTAAACGTCTTTTCCGGAATATGCACTATAGTTCACTCGATTGTCTAAGTATGCTCCATCAGTTGTTGCGTATTCAACATCTAAGATGAGTAAGTTTGTTTCAGATGTGTCCAAAATGGTGCTAGAAGAGTGCCGAACCTCTATGCTCATTAATGACATGGAAATCTCTTTTATCATGGTACATGCACAATAAATTGAGGAGCAGAAACTCAAGGAGAAGTTCAGGGAGGCAAAAAGGGCTAACACTAGTGATTTTAATTTTTCTAACACAAGGTCTGATAGACAAGGTCGTCCTAGATTCCATCAAAGGTTTTACGATCAAGGTTCGTCCAATGGTACTCTTAAGCTCAACCAAGATACGGTGTCTAACCCTACGACTCAAGGAGGTAAAGGTACTGGATTTTCATTTCCTTGTTCTAATTGCACTAAGTGTAAAAACAAGCACGATGGTAAGTGACTAGGCAACACAAATGGTTGTCATTGTTGTGGTAAAAGTGGTCACAAAATGAGGGATTTTCCAATGCGTACGACTAAAAGAAGAGAGGGAAAACAAGCTTCTACTAGTGGTGCAGGTTCCAATGCTCTTAAGCACAACTGATTTTTTGCTCTTCAAACTATAGGTAAATAAGAGAGTTCTCCTGATGTGGTTATCAGTATGTCTAAAGTTTTCCAATTTCATGTATATGCTTGACATGATTCCAGTGCTACCTTGTCTTTTGTGACGCCATATATGGCTATGAGGTTTGATGTTCATCCGGATGTGTTGTTAGAATCTTTGCAATTCTATGGTAGCTAAGAGTGTCTATAGAGAGTGTTCGTTTTTGCTTGTCCATAAAGTTATACTATAAGAAGAAGGATTTTTAGGGACCACCATTTAAGGACGAGATAAAATTGTGGTCACTGAAAGTATACATATAGGTACAACTATTTTTTGTGGTCCCTAAATTTCACTTTTAATCCTTAAATTAGCGATGAAACTCCATCTAGTCCTAAAATTACGTGAATCTAGTCCCTAATTCTAAACAAAGTATGACAAAAGACCTCTCCTCGATTTTCACATCTGAAAAATTAAAGAAACTAATAAATAGGGGAATTTAATATTGATTTCAAAACTAGTTTTTCTTTAAAAAAATCCCTAAACCTAGGTTGGCTCGCCGTTTTCCCAAGTTCATCTACAATAGATTTCTCGCCGCTTTCCTAAAGTCATCTAAAACTTGCTACTATTCCAAATTCCTTAAGAAGATCTTGCACCAGAAATCCTTTTAGCAGGGAGCTTCCTATTCTTTGTAGTATGTAAAGGTGATGTTTTTCTTGACTATAAACTAACCCACTTTAGCAAGAACGATTTTTTTTGAATTGGGGGCAAGTGTTAGAGGTTTCTTCTTTTTAAAACTATTTTAGTGGTAAATATCTCACTGATTGTAGTTCTATTTTTTTCTCTAGGAAAGGTAGAATCATAATTTTGTGAGAAAAATTAGAATTTCAAGTTTATGCATGCCTAAGAAAACAAAGAAAATTAATCTTAGTTTCATTTTGTTTCAATATATTGAATATTGAACTATCACATGTGATGGTATATTAACACTTCATATGACTGTAAGTATATTTGATAATCTTTCTTTTGTATTGTGCTCTCCGTTGGTGTTAATTTTTGTATTTTTAACAGGTGAAGGAGTTAAATTTTTGGTTCATTTTGTCAATCCCCGTATGCTAAATTTCAAATTTTCATTTCCTATGTAAAATATAATTTTTACTATTAATTGTCTGATTGTTAGTATAAAGTAGTTTAAGCTATCCAGTTACAATATTTGGGTATATTCTATTTTGTCAATGAGGGCTAATTTTTGATTGGTGTATTGGAGGATTGTCATGTTGCTGTCCTGTTTCAGGAATGTTTTATAACTTTTTGGGCATAGTATGAATACAGTAAAATTTTATTTTATGTCGAAGCTAAGAAAATAATAGATGTTTCAATGGAGTACTTGTTGCTTAGCAGTGGATATTAATTAATTTAGTTATGATGGATTAATACGATACAAATTTCTTTATGATTTGTTTTGAACTATATTGTTCATACTCTTCAAAGATTTTGATGTGATACCTATAGGAGGACCCTCCTATAATTTTCCATTTTTTGCAGATGTGTGACACGTCCGAAAATATTTTAGGACAATCGAGATACATAGATTTTTACTCATCTATTCAAGAAATTATTTTTCATGTCAATTATTATTTTCAAGGTTGATATTTAATTTTCAACTTAGGTATATATTCAAATTTCAAAGATCAAGGATCAAGGAAAAACTTTCTCTAGTTATCATATTCAAGGATCAAGGAAAAACTGAATTGGAATGAGGGGTTGAATCGATGGGATATTTCAATTCTCTTCCGCTTCATCATAATCCATTCTCGTTATTCCAATGATTTTTTGTGCTTCTATTGAATGATGTTTCAAATTTCTTTAGTGTATTATGCTTATTGGAATAGATATTGATTCTGCTTAAAACAATGTAATATGATGACCAACCATTTATGGGGTATTTCAAATCTCTTTCGCTTCATCATAATCCATTCTCTTTATTCCAATGAATTGTTGTGCTTCTATTGAATGATATGTCAAATTTCATTACTGTGTATTATGCTTATTTTAATAGATCCTGATTCTCATGCTAATATCTATTGGTTCCAATTGTAACTTATCACCTTTATTTGGTTACAATGTCCAAAAACTTCTGTCCCTTTATTTGATGAGCAGCCATTTATGGGGGATAGGGTGCCTGCCAGAGGTGAAGTACCTCTATCCATACAAGTTAATCAATTTTAACTTGGTAAGTTAGTCGTTGCAATCAAATTCATGGTTGCTCCATATGTATTTTACTGAAATCGTTAGGAAATATCCTATAGTGTTATTTGATAAAGTTATGTGCTAAGTGTTTGCTTAACTCCTTATATTAGTCTACAGTTATTAAGGACATGATTAAGTAAATAAAAATGTACTCTCTTGATAGCTTTAGATTTTAGATGAGATGGTCACATTTCAATGTTGTAATAGATCAGACAGAGATGTTGGATTTAATCTTGTTGGCACCTATTAGTAAAAAGGTTTTCCATGTGTTTGAATCAGTAAAGAGGATCAAGTCTGAACATACGACATTATAAGTGTACTCTCTTTAACGACTTCATCTTTTACATCAGATAGTAACACATTAAATATAGAACAAAGCACAAAGACTTCTGCTAAGATTTATTACTCCCTCGAAAACATATCCTTGTGTTTTATTCATGGACTATATAGGATGTTTAAACCAATAAATAGAGCCTGTTAATCTGATAAAAACTAGTCAGATTGATAAACACTTGACACATAATTTTTTTTTACTTTTTGTAAGGTTATAACGTGTTTTTTCGAGTGAAAATTTATCCTCTTGTTTCCATGAATTATTTCATATGTAAAAATCATACATACGAATGAAACATTTTTGTTATTAACTAGTGAAATTGTGCTTTTCCGATACAGAGCACTTGCGGACAAGGATTATACTTGTAAATTTGTACAATATACATTTGACTAGTTTACACCTTCAGGTATTCAAAATCGTAGAATGGGTTTGGTATGTCCTTCTAGGTCAAACTAAAATATATTTTCATTGATATGAGTTGTTTAGTGAAAGAATCAATCTTTGTTCTTTTGTATATAACCAATGAAATTTCTTGACTTCTTTCTTTATATACAATATTAGAGAACATTTTAATTTTTGGAGCTTAACTAAATTATAAATGACAACTAAGATTATCGTTTTAAGTATTGTTTCTTGGTGCTAATTAGTTGTTACCCCCATATATGTTCTAGTTGGTAATATATCTTCTCTTTCCACGAAAAATGAAAAATAACCTTTCTAATTATATCAAGTAAATAAAAAAGTTATAGCTTCTATGTGTATGCAGATTAGCATTATTTTTTGTTTTAATTAAGTTCATAAGGTCGTTTCCCTCTTTCTTGTTTTTGAAGTACTTGCGACATTTCTATATTATACAGACTTCAGTTATTTATCTCATAAATATGCAATAAAGTATGTAATAGAGAAGAGAAACAAATAATTGGACCAGAACATCTACATAAGCCTTTCTTGGTGCTTGATATAACCCTGTAATATTCATTTAGCTTAACATTGTCTTCTAATTCTTTGTAGCACTGTTTTTTGTTATGTACTATTATGCACTCAAAATGGTATCAGCCGTTGTCAATGACGATGCAACTATTCTTCATGAGTTTTTTCTGGAATATACATTGTGTAAATTATGGTTTCTCTCTGGTTCTCAAGAAACATATGCACCATAGAAACCAATGGAACCAGTTCATAAACTGTGATATATAGCAGTAAAACAATTATTTTCTGACCATTCTAAATCTTCCTATTTGTGTTGTTTTGGCTTTCATGTTTACTTTGATATTTTCTTAGGAGACATCTTCGTTTAAGTTCCTAGGATAAACATGGAGAATGGTTGGAGATTTTATTAGATTGTGTGATGATTTTTTTTATATTCTATTTATGGACTTTGCTTGGAATCTAGATTTCTGGTAATCTATATTAGAAGAATGTAATTGGACCATATATGAAAATGATAGGCTTTGAAGGAAGAGGACGCTGAAATATCCAGATTTTTATTTCCAATATAATATCTTTATGATACAATTTGATCTTTATAGTTCTCTAAAGAAATTTATACTTTTATTTTTATAGGGTTTAAAGAGTTTCAATTACAACTCAAGATGAGAACTTTGAAGATTTATCAAGTTGAGAAATTAATCAGGAAAAAAATATAAAAATATTATTGTTCTATGAGATTTTATAAACCATATCATGATATATGTATTGTGTTCATACTGCTACAAGTGGGATTTATTCTCCCCTCTTCTGCCAGGGTTTGAATTTGGTTAAGGAGCTCTTGAATGCGTTGTTCCACCAGCTCCGAAAAAACAGCAGGCACATGCTCTAATATATTTTGTAGTTATTACAAATTTTTAATCTATAAATATTTTTTCGTATTGCAAATTTTGAATTTATTGATAAATTGATTTTTTAATTTGATTATTTATAGATAATTATTGTATAAATTCAAAAAACACGCCACTTTGGGATACTCTTTACAGACCAGACTTTTTGTCATAAAATTGTTTTTAGGACCAGGATAATAATGGTACTAAAATTTTCTTGGGAACAGTTAATATTTGCTTACGACTAGATTTCATGTCGCTGAAAGTGTTTTAGGGACATGAAGTTTTTCGGTCTCCAAAATCCTCTGAGGATCAGTAAATTAGTCTTGTCGTTACTGATCTTTTGTGACGAAGACGATTGCGATGGCTGACGACCAAATTTCTCTGGTCGCAATTCACTTTTAAGGACTAGAATAAGACTTTTAAGGACGAGTTTTCCCTTTGTTAGTGGACATTTTTGTTGTAGTGGTTACTCTTATTGACTTGGGAGAGATTGATACGTTACACATTGATGTTATCTTGTGTTTGGATTAGCTGCACTCATGCTATGCTTCTTTGATTGTAGATCCCGTGTAGTAAAGTTTCAATTTCCTAATGAGCCTATCCTAGAGTGGAAAGGGGAATTCTATACCTAACAGTCAATTGTTTCGTATCTTAAATCTAGAAAGAAGATATTAAGGGTTTATTTTACCATCTAGTTAGGATGGGGATTTAGATTCTGAGACACCTTCTCTTGAGTCGGTCCCCGCAGTGAATGAGTTTCCAAAAGTGTTTGAGATTACTTTCCAATTATTCATCCTGAGCAAGAAATGGACTTCGGCATTGATCTTATCCTAGAAACACAACCTATCTATGTTACTGCTTATTGTATGGCTCTTGTAGAACTTAAGGAGTAAGAGGAACAATTGAAGGATTTTTTAGATAAGGGTTTCATCGACCGAGTATCTCTCCATGTGGTACTCCAGTTTTGTTTATGAGAAAAAAAATTGTTCTCTTCAAATGTGTATTGATTATCGACTGTTGAACAAGGTGACCACTAAGAACAAGTATCCCCTCCTATCACTACCCAACCTACCGAGCCGTGCGGGCACCTACTGTAACACCTAAGTAAGAGAACCCTCGATTTCCAATCAGTTAAAGACATGGGGAAGATTAAGAAACCAAAGGTAAAAACAAAGTCATGGAATTTTTATAAACATGGATTTTTAAACATCCAACAAACATAATTAACAATAACCAGTGATCTAGTCTAAACAATTACAAGATCTTCTAAGATTACAAAGTATATACATGAATAACAAATGATGCAACTCACATCACATTAAAGGATATGAGCTGTTGGATATTGTCTTCTTCTTCATCTATGAAACATCACTAACCCTGCAACCAGACTATGCTAAGAAGACATAGCAAGAGTAGTATCAGAAAACGTACTGGTAGACATAATTGGTCAACCTGATACCCACAGCATAATATAAGAAATCAACTAGCAGAAAACATGTAACAAGACATTTAATTCATCAACCTTTATATCCTCCCGCCATTACCGTTTACGAATACTTTACAAGATACTAGTACACTTGACTCTAACCCATTATTGTTCCTAATCACTGCTTAACTATTCCATCACTTGGAGGAGTTTCCTAATGTAACCACTACCAACCAGGCCAACCAGTCACAACATGCCCTTACTTATTCCACATCACTAGTCAACCCTTGACCCCATAGTACCCCCTATAAAGGCTCGCTAACCATTTCGATACAGATCTCTTTCCAAGCTATGACCTAACTACTTAACATTCATGACACAAACACCCCCTCACTACTCAACTTTTAAGAACAAATACAACCTCTCTAAAATAATAAACAATAACTCTTGAAACCTTAGTTTCCACTTACCATACAACATCCCAATTTTTCCTAACCAACAAAAATTCATTCACTAACGAGATATATTACATGTAAACATGACCTACTAAACATACATATATAATGCACACAATATTATCGTTGAATAGCACCATACTAATTCCCAACATCCATGACGGGTAGATATGAAAATAGTAGTCACCAATGCTTCTCTCACGTAACATTCACCCAAGTTGTAAGTGTATAAAAATTTGACACCCGATATAATATGTATGTTAGAACATGACAAGCAATCCATTACATGTGTTAAAACGTGACACCGAATCCAATATATGTGTCGGAATGTGACTTTGACCCAATATTTATATCAAAATGTGACACTTGATCTAATTAACACCACCACAATCACAATCTCACCCATAATGACATTACTCATAACCATACAATCAAATATTAGGCTTATGACATTTAGTTATTCAAACTTTTTTGTTTTATCGGGTTCAATAAATAATACTTTATTCACATAGGCACATGCGTACAATAAAACCACTATCCGATATATATCACACGAACAAAAAATCAAATCATCAGTTACTTCTAATTCAGATGATAGGGCTTTCCCATATGGTACACATCTTACATAACCACTAGGAATATATGTACACCATTCCTTTTTATGGTGAATGAAGGCCTACAAATAAATTATACCATTAATTAAAAAAATACTATGTAGTGAACACATATTCAAGACTGCTCTATTAATAAACCTAGCCTACCTGGATGTCAAGTAGTTGCAGATGAATTATATCTCCAATCTTGGTTTCTAGACTTCGAGAAGGTGGATTTAGCCGAGAATCTACAAGATATCTTCATCCTTGTGCTAGAAATCTTCCTTCTTACTTCCCAAGCCTAGAATAAATTTTTGAGAGTTTCTTGGTGATCCTCACCTCTTATTGGTGTTTTAGGAAAAAAGAGAGAATATGACTTTGCCTCATTTAATTTATATCCCCGACCTTCCTACTCTTATGGTCCTTGAACCGCGTAGTGCCGTCACCTTAGTGGAATCTATACTATTCTAGAGACATGACGGGCCCAACTTCTTTTCCTAAATAAAAATTGTTCAGGTTGTTACATTTCCCAAGGATATATGATTTATTTCACCAACTCCAACGAGAAATTTATTTCTCTAAGATTGATATCCGATCGTGTTATCACCAATAAAGGGTGAAAGATGATGACATTCTGAAGTCCATTTTTCAAACTTGGTATGCTCATTATGAGTTCTTAGTAATTTCATATAGGTTAACTAATGATCCGGTGGCTTTTATGTATTTGATGAACATGGCATTTAAAACAATACCTTGACATGTTTGTGATTATATTCATTGATGATATTTTGATTTACTCAAGGAGTTACCGTATTAATTATTTGAGAATCTTGTTGCATATTCTTAACGACCAACAATTTTGGGCAAAGTTTAGCAAATGTGAATTCTTGTTAAGGTTTATAACTTTCCTTGTTCACATTGTTTTGAGTAAGGGTATTGAGGTATAGCGTGTGAAGACGAACGCGGGAAGACGAATGCGGTCAAGAGTTGGCTTAGACTTCTAACTCCTTCGAATATTAGATGTTTGTTGGGTTTAGTAGGTTACTGTAGAATGTTTGTAGAGGGTTTATATTCAATTTCCTATCATTTGACAACTTTGACTCAAAACAAGGCTATGTTCATGTGGTTAGAAGCATGCGCGAAGAGTTTCCAAGAGTTGAAAGTTAGACTTACTTCCACTCTGGTGTTGACCTTATTGGAAGAGACAATAGTTTTGTGATTTATTATGATGCCTCGGGAATTGGTCTAGGGTGTGTGTTAATACAAAAATAGATATGTTATTGCCTATTCCTTAAGGCAACATAAAATCCATAATAAGAATTATCCTACTCATGACCTTGAATTAGCCGTGGTTGTTTTTGCTCTAAAGATTTGGAGACGCTATTAGTATGAAGTATATGTAGATGTATTTAGCGACCGCAAGAGTTTTCATTATGTGTTTAATCAGAAAAATTTGAATCTTCACAAAAATAGGTGGCTTGAACTATTGAAATATTATGATATGAGTGTTCTTTATCACCCAAGTAATAATTAATGTGGTAGCGGTATATCTACGGGTAGTATTGTTCATATCGAAGAAAAAAATAAAGAGTTGATTCAAGATATTCATAGATTGTGTCAATAAAAGGTTCAACTAGTAGAGTGCACCAAGGGTGGAGTTACGGTTCATAGTGGTCCTAAATCATTTTTTGGGGAGGATGTGAAATCAAAGCAAGGTCTTGATCCAATTTTTGAAGAATTGAAAGAGGAGGTGCTTCAGAAATCCGCTGAGGCTTTCTCCTAAGGGGGGGATGGGTAATTAGATACCAAGGTCGTTTATGTGTTCCAAATGTTGATGACTTAAGGGATAAGATTTTTTATAGAAGCCTTAGTTCGCGGTATTCCATTCACCCGTAGGCCACCAAGATGTACCGTGATTTATGAGAATTCTATTGGTGGAACGGGATAAAGAAGGATATTGTGCCATTTGTGGCTAAAAGTCAAAATTGCCAACAAACGGAGGTTGAGAATCAGAAATCGAGAGGTTTTTCCCAAGACAATAGAATTCTTACTTGGAAGTGGGAAGAATTTAACATGGACTTTATAGTTTGTTTGGCTCGCATCCTGTGACAACATGACTCTATTTGGGTTATAGTAGATCGGATGACAAAATTAGCTCATTTCCTTTCCATCAAGGTTTCATATTCGGGGAGGACAATGTCAAGTTATACATGACAGAAATAGTAGGGTGGCATGGAGTGACCTTGTCCATTATTTCCAATCATTCTACCCAATTTACTTTTTAATTTTGGAAGTCATTCCATAAGGGGATTGGCACTAAAGGTTAAGCTTAGCACGACTTTTCATCCCAAAATTGATGGGCAAATGGAGCTCATTATCCAATATTTGGAAGATATGTTAAGGTACTGTGTGATCCCTTTTAAGGGAAATTGGGAAAACCATTTACATTGTTTTAGTATGCTTAAATTAACAATTATCACTTAAGTATTGATATGGCTCTATATGAGGACATATATGGTAGGAGGTGTTAATCTATCATAGAATGGCTTGAGGTGGGTTAAGTTGAACTAATAGGTCCCGAAGTGGTACAAAAATC